CATGGTGTGAGTTTTGTACTTTGGGCTTCGAAATGGTTTACTGTTTAATCTGTTTAGGTACTTATTGTATAATAGAAAATACAGAATAAAATGCACACAATAAACTTAACTCTACCTGTCCATGGGAAGATTTGCCATCTTTACTTTTCGAGAATGACACTGCCCAGTCTCTTGCAGAGTTAGGGACATTCAGCTGTTTGGAGTCAGAGACACCTTTCTCTTCAGGCTGGGTTTTGGAGGTACGACGAGATGATGCATCCTTCTTCCCTTCTCTCCCCCCCTTTGAATCAGCCTGACCCTTGCTGCTTTCTGTTTGCTCTCCGTGAGGGTTCCACCGGCTCCAGTCCAGACTACTAGTGCTGGTCCCCGGAAACAGATGCTCAGACACAGACAGAGGCTGAGGCTCTGATGACTCAGACGGGGTTATAGGGTGGCTCATAAAAGAGGAGACACCACTGAGAGGCTCAAGCCATCGTCCTCCAGTGCCTTGTGCATCACCCCCAATAGGCTGCTGGATCTTTTCATCCAGCCGCTGCAGTGCAGACAGTACCTGGGAAATCTCAGCTTTTACATCATTCAGTGACTCCAGTTGTCTCTCTATCTGGCTCATACGGAGCAGCAGCTTACAGACACTGGCCTTGAGCCCGTCATCGCTGCTTTCCAGAGAGTGGAAAAGCCTTTGGAGCTGACCTAGGCGGCCTCGTCTGGCTTCAGGGGTGTCCTGATTAATGGACGCCGTTCCATCACTAGGGTGCAGGACTCCCGTGGAGCCACACATGCTTATGTCATCTAAGAAACGAAAGATGGCACTGATGTCATCCTCACCAAACTCAGGGTCGTCTAATGAGGTCATGAAAGAGAGGCGATCAGCATGGACCAAGCTACGGAGGCGTCGGGTGTCCGGTGGGTCTGTCTGAGTTCCCTGAGCCTTGACTCCGTCGCCTCCAAATGGCAGTCCACTATCCCCACTCTCACCTCCTGAGGACCCCCCCAAATTGCTGATAGCCGGAGTTGATCGTCTTGGAAGTTGCCCCCCTTGTGATTCCATCCCCATTCCAATGCTGTCCAGGCCTATCCGGTCCTCTAGACTGTGACTTTTATTGCCCCACATGGGCCTCTGGGTCCTGGGAGGCTGAAGGTGCCGGGGGGACCACTCTCGGATTGGCCGGGGTCCGAAGTAAGTTGAGTCCTGTAGGTCATCAATGCTCTCATGTTTAGCCCGCTGCTCTGGTGATTGGTGGACTGCTGTTGGTGATGGGTAAGGATTTTGGATCGTCTCAAAGCTTTGATTATCGAAGCCTTTCTGCCCTGGCCCAGGACTGGGAGACTCACTATTAACGGTTACCTGGGGTATTAGAGGTGGCTGGTTATGGAAGTCCTTCCTAAAGATGTTTCTCTTCTGGTCGACATCAGGCGGTCCCTGTTCAGCTTCAAACACCTCCATGGGCGCAGAATCTCCACTGGACTCACTGTCTGTCTCCAAAGGCAGGTAGAGGTTTTTCATTACCTCGTTAGGGATTTGACCACTAGGATACAAAAGTGTGGTGTGAGGCAAGTCGAAAGACACAGCCCTCGCCCTGATTGGAGGGGATGTCACAAGTGAGATAGGATCAGGGGGAAGACTTCCTCGCTTGTGGGCAGAGTAATTAGATCTCGGAAAAAGCAAATGCTGATCGATAGGCCTGCCGCTGGAGTCAGAGTGGGCACGTGCTCTTTCTCGACCAGGAATGTTTAGCTGGTATATTCCAGGCAGACTGGGGCCTGGGGACTGGTCGACTGGGAGCACCATCTGGCCTCTCATTGGTTGGCTGTCATCAGGGGCCCCACCCGTCATCTGAATAAGATTGAAGATAGTTACAATGTCGGCAGCGACTCCTATGGGTGATAGCCCCTGGCCTCTGGCGGACACCCGGTCTCTGAAGAGAGTAGCTGGGAAACAGGGGTCCTGGCTGGCAGCTGCAAACAGCAAACTCCTGAGCTCAATGAGGTGCTCCAGGTCAAAACGGGTGCTAACCATGCGACAAAGGTCTTGGAAGCTCAGCCATTGGCGCATGTTGGCCAGTTCCTCCAGGATCCCCAGAAGGACCCTCGGGTATTCCTGCTGTGGGTTAGCCATGTCTGCTCACCTGAGAGGGAAAACCAGGCAGTTGGTGAAGAGGAGCAAGTTGATTTAAAAACTGTGGCAATTCAAAGTAAAATACAAAACTCATAGAGAGCTATTAAGATATCAGAGAAACATAAGTCAATATAAGAAGACATAAAAAATGATTGCAGTCAGAATTTAAGTCCTATTATCAATCAGATAAGTGTGTGTAAAACTTTAACAATAACTCTCTTTCTCTAACACAGGCATTGAATGACAATATAATATTTAGAATATGATGTATGTTGTATAAAATAGTGTGTAAAATACTAACAGTAAGAAATATCACATAGTTATTGGATTATGGGGTTTTGTTATGTATTGGGTCTTCTATAGCGTATTTGTTTAATTCTTATCTTTAAAACATCATGAGTCATTATTAATGCTATCATTATATGACATATTAATCATAGTAATAAAACCATTCCAGTAGTAGTAGCAGTTATTTTTTCAGTGATTTAAATGACAAGTTTCACTTAGTTATAATATCATCAGTGTTACAGATCTGATATTGTTTCGGCATAAAATCATATATTTGATATGAAACGTGACAATCAACGTGGACTTTTTCAGCTCGGACAGAAAAAGCCCTTTAAGTTGGAAAGCGACCTTATTTTTGGGCCCTAAAATAACCGATCATCTGACCCGATGACGCCGTCACACTGCGCACATCTCCTCACTTGACATTTTTAATATTCTCATTTCTATTAACAGCTCCAGGGCATACTCTCCACTTTACTGAACAAATGTGGGATGTAGGCTATGGATGAATATACTGACATCCCTCTAGTAACTTTATCCAGGCACCTTTGAAAACAGTCTGAAGATGAGATAATGACAGGACATTATTTTGGAAAAGGCGCATCAATCTGTATTGCGAATCCCCTGAGCTGGGACATCAATGATAAAATGCATTTTGGATTGTCCACATCTAACTACTGAAGGTGTAGCTCGAGCAGAGGTAAGCCAAGGAGTATTCCACTCACCTGAATCTATTAAAGGATAAATACAGTGACGCCTGCGTCCATGAAAAACGCCAAATAAAATCCAGTTTTACGCAGATAGCGAGGCCATATTCCGCACAGATCCGGGGCGGCTCATGCTGTCACACTTCTTTCATGGGCTTCTCTGTTTGTAGCAGCGACTAGCCCACAGCACAGGCAGGAGAGGAGAAAATTAGAAATCAGGTCATCTTCCCACAAGTCCTTGCAGTCCCCTAAGGGACCTCAAAATACATCCAAACGGTTTCCCCTCACCACAGATCAGCGACGACACTTGCAAAGTCAACAGTGCACCTATATTTCTAATTGATACACGGGAGGAAAAAAAACCCCACTGTTGGCAGGACACCCCACTGTGTATGAGTAGGTCAGGTCCTGGAGCATATTTTCTCAGTGTGTCATAGCAATAATTTGTTATGTGTGCAGGTTGAGCGCAGGAATAAAGGACAGATTAAAAATTGATGTTTGCTAATTGACACTCCAAACTGACAGTAAACTATCAGGTCCAAGGTAAATTGCCTGCTAGATTGCTGCCTACACACACAGCTGTCTGCCAGACTTCAGCCCTCCCAGACTTTCCCCATTACTCTGCATTATCATCCATAAAGGGTTGTACTTAAAACTCCATTAGAGCAAGAGAAGGGCAAGGCTTTCATTGGTGTGTAGCAGCACTCTGCTACAATCAGAAAAGACATCTCTAAATTATCTGACAGCTCACAAAGGAGCACATCCATCATCCCATGTACTCAGGAATCACTGGGAATCAATGAGGTGAATGAGCTGTGGTATGTGGGTGTAGGTATCAGGCAGTAATGTATTACTGTCAGGCCTGTACAGTAGCATGGCACTTCTGTATACCAGGTTAAAAAAAGTACAAAAGTTGAATAATGCATTCAAAACATAATCTGCTTTTAAATTCATTTATTTAATTGCACTTGGCATTTACAAAAATATTGACTGGGGAGAAACAGATTTTTTTTTCAGTATTGCAGCACTGAAGCACACTTCTAGAAACATTAGAAATGAGACAGGGCAGTCCATGTATACATAAATTACGAATAGATTTCTCTTCTTTAAATCTAAAATACATGTTTTCCCTCTTACTTGTAGTGCTATTTATCATAGATTGTTTTGGTGTGAGCGGCAGAGTCTTGGAGGTATCGACCGTGGAGATGTCTGCCTTCCGTTAAGTATAATGGAAATAGATGGCCCTTGGCTTGTGGTGTTCAAAGCGCCAATTTATTTATTTAAAAAACTCAAAGTGCAAAAACATAGGTAAAAAAACCCCAAACATTTGAAGCAGCAATGTCTCTTTCCAGAAATCATGACCCGGCTACTGAAGATATCTCACAGTTTGCTGTGAGCAGTTTCATGAAGGAACTATTTTCCTTCTAGGGAACTACAGCAGCCAACTGTATCACCACACAGAGGGAAGCATGCAGCTACTGCTATCTCACTTAGCACGACTGAGCTAGTTAACATTACAACTCAGCTACAGAGCAGTCGATAATGTCCAAATCCTGTGCTGTCACAAGCACGAACCTCTCATTCATGAGCAGATGAACACTTCCATCTGCACAGTGATACGGCTGATGTGAGCAGTTTGGTACAAAGAAATAGTTCCTAAGTGAAACTGCTCACAACAAGGTCTGTGGAATATCTTGAGTAACCAGGTCATGATTTTCATGATTTCTGGAAAGAGGTATTGCTGTTGAGTTTTTCAAATGTATTTTTTTAGTGCTTTGAGCACCACAAGCTGAGTGCCATCTAGTTCCATTATACTGGAGAGAAGGCAGACATCTCTACGTCTGATATCTCTGACACTCTGCAACTCACACCAAAACAATCTAGACTGATGATCAGCACTACAGGTATGAGGGAAAATATGTACCTTTAATTTTGGGGTGAACTGTCCCTTTAACACAAATAAATCTGAGGTACCTTCCTAACAACAGAAACAGTACCTACAGACCAGTATTATTTTATAATACACAAACTATAAAACCAAAGTAAACTTTTCACAGGACATAACTGCGAATATGTAAACTTCACTGTGTTAAGATTTCAGCTGAGATGAGATTCTTGTTCTCTTTTCTTCTTTGGTTTTGATTTCACCGCTGGAGTTACAATCGTCGGAGTCAGTGAAGGATTCAAGGCAGGATCTAACGCTGGGTTCAGGGCCAGCAGGTCCAGTATATTAGCACCTGCTGAAATATGACACCCTGAAGGACAGAGACAGAGGATTGGTGCAAACATATATTTATTTTCTGAGGTAAAAAAGGTGCTTACCAGTGTTGTCCTCTTCACCGCTTGGTTCTGGATCTGGACTGTGGAGGGAGATCCGTGCCAAGGCTGCCAGCTCAGTTATGAAGCTTTCTTCTGCCTCCTAATGGACACAGCAACACAATGCTTACAGACAGTGACTACACTTACTTATAAATCAAGTCGTAAATCTATTGTCAGGCAGGGAAGTAGAGAAGACATTAAACATACTAACCAGTAGCTGTGCTTTCATCTTTTCCATGGCCACATCCTGAACTACTTTCTTCCGCCTCAGTTCCTCATATATCATTTCCTGGTCCAGATCACACTGCTCCAACACCCTCCTTTTGTGGAGTTCAACCCTGATACACAAGAAAACAAACAAACAACCTAATTTTCTCTCATTTCATGTATTTGAGATCGACAAAAGTGTGTTACGCAGACAAGTGTGTAGTGCAGAGACGTAGAGTGTAGTCACTGTACCTCTGTTGAAACTCAGCAGACGTGGGTTTCTTGCCCCAGTTCACCAGCTCCCTGAGCAGGGATCTGGTCAGCTGACTGCTGCTCTCTTGATTCTCATTCACCTCTGAAGGAACAGTAAAATTAACACACAGTAGATTTTGCAAATTGAAGTGTTTTATCTACTGAAAACTGCTTTCTCTATTGGCTAATTAAATCATGCTACCTTAACAGTGAATATTAAGATATCAAGGTAATATATATATATATATATATAACAAGTCTAACACAATGCTGGTAATCACTGTGCTGTTGCAAATATTTCCCCTCTGACTTACTAATGAAACACTGTAAATATAGCATCTATTACATTCATTTAGCCTAGATGGGGGGTAAGGTTGCAGCTGTAACAGCACCAAAATCAGAGTTTACACAGATGTGGACATGTAAATGTGTGCTGTCATCTCACCCTGGTTTACGTTTGACTCATCCTGCTGTAATTTTTTGATAATGTCCCGTACGTGTGAATAGTAGCTTTGGACCAGTGCGGTAAGAGAATCTTTGGTCACATACACACTCTCCGAAGCAGCCTCTGTCAGGTGTTGCTGATGAGGAAACAACATGTCACTCCAATGTGCTTGACAAACCCTAAAGCAACAAACAGCAGAAAGCTGATTCTAATTCATAACCAAAACTCTACCTTCAACCCATCGTCTTGTGTCTGCGTCTCAGTAGGTGAGATCATCATCATCTGTTGGATGGCATGGCTGAGAGCATTGCCTAGCACCAGCTGTGCATGGCTCTGAAGAAGCTCTGTCCCGGTTTCCAGTTCAGACAGCAACTCCTGCTGGAAGCTGTGGCCCACAAGCTGACTCTCTGGACCCAGGTGCCTCTCTGCTAGGCTGGCACTGCTATTCTGTGAATGGTAAGGCACAACAACAGTGTTAAAGGGAAATTTCGGTTTATTTCAACCCGTCTCCTATCGTCCTAAATTCGTTTCAAGTGATTAGTGACATAAAAATAATAGTTAGCATGTTAGCCGTTAGCCTAGATACAGCCGGGGCGCATAGTAGCGTCAGACCTGTTAAAACTTAAGTGAACGGGCAACCTTCAAGTGCAAAGTTAGTCCACTAAACAAGCTTTTTTTCCACAAAGACCGCCTCATATCGTTAGGATAAATGTCAGAGAACATACAGAAAACGACATGTAAACATGTTGTCTTACCTTACCGGTGTGGTGCCATGTTTGTTTACCATCTAGCTCTGCTTTCCAAAGCGCGGCCGAAATAATGTGAGAACAAGCAGCGATCTCATACTGTGCCTGAAATCTCGCGACAACAAGCAGCAACAGCTGGAAGGCAGAACCGGACAGTAGCCTGAAAAGTTCATTCATTTATTTTATGAAAGATTTATAGAATAATGGCTGACTTTTTGCCAGACTTCGACTTTGTGGAGGAGGAATTTGATTTCGCAGCGTTTGATGGCCACCCTTATTTATTTGAGCCAGAATACACTGACGAAGAGCTTCGTGAAATTGAAGAACGGAGGAGGAGAGAGAGAGGCGCAACAGGTAGAGGACAAGAGAAGAGGAATGGCTGCTGCAAGGCTGCGTAGCTCTGGAGATTGGTGGTGTACCTGTGAATGCTGTGCCCCAGTGCCCGAGGACGAGACACCTCCACCTGGAGTAACGTTAGCATTCAGCTGGGCTTTATCTAGAGCTGGCGAGATATATTTCGGCCGTGCTTTGGAAAGCAGAGCTAGATGGAAAACAAACATGGCACCACACCGGTAAGGTAAGACAACACGTTTACATGTCGTTTTCTATATGTTCTCTGACATTTATCCTAACGATATGAGGCGGTCTTTGTGGAAAAAAAGCTTGTTTAGTGGACTAACTTTGCACTTGAAGGTTGCCCGTTCACTTAGGTTTTAACAGGTCTGACGCTACTATGCGCCCCGGCTGTATCTAGGCTAATGGCTAACATGCTAACTATTATTTTTATGTCACTAGTCACTTGAAACAAATTTAGGACGATAGGAGACAGGTTGAAATCAACCGAAATTTCCCTTTAAATCTGCTGTGAACTTGAGCTATTCCATTAGAGACATACTGTATTTTCGCAATGGTTTTGAAGTTCTTACGAGAATGCATTATTAAAAACAATACATTTTTCGCACCTTGAGAGTTGAATTGATACAGGACTGGCTTTTACTGGGATCTTCCATTAGCACCGCTCTGAAATCAGTCTGAGAGAGTGCCTTCAGCTTGGACAGCCTCATCTCCTTCAGCATGTGCAGACAGAAGTGCCTGACCACAAAGTGCCTCTGCACCGCCACCAACAGGTGCTCGTGTTTCCTCTCTATCAACCTCCCGACTTGGCTGAGAAGAAGATCATATTGCATTATTTCTAAGTAACTCATAAACATTGATTTTGATACTGTGGGAGCCAAAAGTGGATATGGCCACTTAGAAGAAAGCTGTGTTTGTGCAGATTTAATTTTTGTATCATCATCAGGTAGTCTTTCATGCACTCAATACACCATAAATACTTTGTGACCGAGGTCTTCCAGTCTCACCTGTGGAGTGTGTAGCTCTGTCTGGCCACCATGGCTCGGAGGATCGTCATCTGTTGTTCACTCAGGTGTTTGAGACAGGCCTGCACCAGAGCCATCTCCTCACTCCACACCTACAGAGAAAGAGGTTCAGTTAGAAACAGTGGTCGGCCTTTAGCATAATTAAACACTTGAAAAGATCTTGTATACTTTGATTTAAAAGGACAGTTCACCCCAAAATCATATAAACATATTTTTCTTCTTACCTTTAATGCTATTTATTAGTCTAGATCGTTTTGGTGAACTGCCAAGTGTTGGACATATCAGTTGTAGAGATGTCTGCCTTCTCTTGAATATATTGCACCTAGATGGCACTCTGCCTGTGGTGCTGAAAGTGCCAAATTTTTTATTATCATTATTATTTTAAACTCAACAGCAATGTCTCTTTCCATATATCTTGACCCGCACACTCAGGATAATTCACAAACTTTGATGTGAGCAGTTTCATGTAGGAACTATTTTTTTTCTACCGAACTACACCCGCCAGCTGTATCATCATGCAGAAGAAGTGTGCATCTACTCATGGATAAGTGATGTGTGTTCGTGAAAGCGTTAGACGTAATGGCACCCTTAGATAGCTTGCTGAAACTCTTGGAATCCTTGTTCCTTCAACGGGGCGGATAGTTGAAAATTACGTGGTGATACGGTTGGCGAGTGTAGTTTGGTAGAAAGAAAATAGTTCCTACATAAACAAGCAGAGTGCCATCTAGTTCCATTATATTCAAGAGAAGGCAGACATCTCTACAGTCGATATCTCCAACACTCGGCAACTCACACCAAAACGATCTACATTGATAAACAGCACTACAGGTAAGAGGAGAAATATGTATTTTTGATTCTGGGGTAAAAAGTCAAAGAGAGAGAGTTTTAAAGTAAACGTGAAATAATAATTTATCAAACAATCAAGGTGCCAAGCTCTGATGGAGAGGCTGTATGTATCTGATCCACCAGATAGTGTCTACCTGTCCATCGTTATCCAGCTGAGCCCTCATGTCCTGCAGTTGCAGCCTGGTAGTGCACTCTGCCTGCTGCAGCTGTACAGCCAGCTCCTCCTCCAGGTACAACCACAGCTTCTCGCACCACTCAGCAGAGACACTTGACTGGGCAGGGACGGAGGTGAGAAAAACATCCTTGGCTAGCTCTCCAAGCTTCTTTGACCAGGAGCTACGGAGTTTCTGAAGACACAAAAAGAGTGCATAAGAATAATGGAAATGCACTTTGCACACAAATACAAATGCAGTATTCAATCTTTAACCTTCCAATGATCACAGAGGGCTTCAGCCACTCTGCTGTCCTGCTGCTGCTCCAAGTCAGAAATCTGCTGCCTGTGTTTTGTCAGCAGCTCCTGGTACACCTAAAGGAAAAGTTACAGAACAGACTTAGATACCAGTGGAATCTACAAGCAGTCGCTTGGCCTATTTATTATGAAACAGTAATCCCAGATCTACATATTGAGGTAAAGGAGACCTTGGTGAGCTGCTGTAGGTCACCGTGAGTCTGTCTCAGTTCCAGGGCGCGGCTCTTCTCCTTGGTCTGGCTCCTCATCAGCTTGTTCCTCTTGGACTCCATTCTGCTGCACTTGTCATTCACTAGCTCCTTCGTCTTCCTCGTGCACTCTGGAACATGGTTGATCAACTTTTGGATGAGCTGAACAAGTTGACTCTTTAAAATAACTGCAGTTTGTAAAGCCAGCTGGATGACAATGGTATAATATTCTTTTAATAGATTTTAGATAAACAGATAGATATTCTTTAAAGACTGAATAAGGGGCTACTGAAAACTATGATGCTCTATGATAGATTGGTTTCCTATGAGGCTGTTGAACATTCAAGTCTAAAAAGCATCCCTGTGTCTCTGATTCTGAGGGACCAACATTAAAATATGGCTTTTATTATTGTTATAAGTGGTTACATAGTTCAAAAGATCTTTTCACTATCAGTTATAGTCTGTACATAGAGGGGCAAGCTGCCCATGAGAGTAATAAAAACACAACAGAAAAGTAAAAAAAGCCCAGAAGATGCAGTACCTTGCCTCACTATTGTCAACACTGTTAATTTAAGTATTATTAGCTTGCTTTTATTACACATTAGATCAGCAGCAACAAACTATGTCAAGTGTTAATGCTGGAAGGCTTTGCATGAGAGTCTGGGGTGCAGTAATAGTGCAATAGATATTCTGTTCTGTCCTGAAAGAGACTGACCTTATTTAAGGAGCTAAAGAGGATTCCCAGAAAATGGTCTATTTTGAGAGAGTACGTCATTTAAGTTTGAAAAGTAGGCTAGACATTGTCCACTGCTACCTGCCATCAGAAACTAGATGAGTGCATTGTGAGAAAATTACACACTCATTTGGTCAGTATTTGGATACGTGTCACTACACTTCTTTTCATGTCTAACTTTTGCAATCACCTTGCTTAAAGGGGACAGATCACCGCTAAATCCAACCCAGTTACTCAAGCTAATCTACAGAACTTGCTCTGAGCAGTTTCATGTAGGAACCATTTTCCTTCTACCAGACCTAGCACCACTTAGCTAGATAACGTTACAGATGCATGCTTGCTTCTGTGCAGTGATTTGGTTAGCAGGTGTACAACTTGGTAGAAGGAAAACAGAAAAACTTTAACTATCTTACCCTCAGTGCACTGTTGAAGGCCTTCAGTCAGAGCTGCCTGAACCTCTGCAAATATCTTTTCCATGTGACTAAAGGTCAAGATGTCATCGCTCGTCAGCTGCTCCAGTGTTGTTGCTATCAGGCTCTGCCTCAGAGACACTTCCCGCTTTAGCAAGGCAGGTTGGGATTGGAGAAGTCCCGTCAGCTCTTCCCACCACAACAACTTCTGCTGGATCCTCTAAGAGAAATGAAAAGACAACTTTTCCTTCAGTTTATCCAGTCCCTCACATGATGACATGAGGGATGAGAAGCAAAATGAATGCTGGGCTGCCAATAACCAGCACTGCTTTACCTTTAAATCAGCTTCTTGTGTGTTCATCAGGTGGTTCTCGACTAACAGAAGAGTCTGGATGAGAGAGAGGATCACATCCTGGGCTTCATCAGGAGAGAAAATGCTGGTCTTCTTCAGCAGATGTTGGCACAAGTCCTCCACCTGTTTGCTGAAACGTCTGGACTGTGAAGAGTAAATTCAGGCAGTTTAATGGACTTAGTATGTTATTAGTATTTGTGTAAATGTTAAAGTATTTGCTCTCTGGGGTTTCAGCTTCGCTTTTACCACTTGAAGGCCACGCTCAAGGAGATCCTTTTGGGCTCTCTCTGTTTCCTCCAAAGTGCAAGGAGCATCATCATTTTTCTCGCTGGCAGTGTGGCCTGTTGGCAACTGTTTCTTCAGATCATTCAGTTCCTGAAAAGGCAGGTGACAACATATGCTTTAATATGGTTTAAAATTTGAATGTCAGTGTTTCCATTCACAGTCAGTCAAGAACTCCAAAATGAATGTATTATGTATGTGTGTGTGACAGATATTTGACTGTACCTTTTCTTGCATTTGAAGAATGTCCTTGGAGAAGTCAGCATCATTTTTGTCTTTTGGAAAACGACCACTGCATATTATTTTCACAATCTGAAGAAACATCTGCAGCAGGAAAACGGTAATAACGGGGAATAAAACAACCATTTTTGCTTTTCAGACTTTGACAAAGTTTATGAAATACACATAATAACTATTTTATTACTGCTTTAAAGAATAACACTCACTAGAAACTTTTCTTTCTGAAGCTGGGAGCAGTGTTGTTGTATATCCTGCAGGGCCAAACAGTAAAGGCTGATCCTGCCTTCAAAACTGCAACGATAACAAGAGTAGCATCACTTCCAGCAAACTCAGGTTTGTGCATACTTGCTGTAAGGTTAAGGTGCATGGGTATGGCTTAACATTTACAGACTACTGGTTCCTACCCAGGCTGTGTCAGAGTATGAGGGTAGTGAGAGACCCTGGTGAAGCTCTGGTTCTGCAGGCTCTTAGGGACCAGCGAGGAGGAGATGAACTGACTGCTGTCATCATTGTCCTGCTCTTGGCTCAGAGACTCTCCATCCGTGGAGGAGGATGACTCATCATTGGGCATTGCTGGCAACTTGGAGTGCTCATGCAGTGACGGATTGGACGCTCCATCTGCTAAAGGCTGAAAAATTCAGTGCAAGGTTCCAGTTAAGTGAAGTATAATCATAAACCAACTGATTGCAGCATATTATAATATACTGTACCTTACTCACCCTTGGATTGGTTTGCAACAGATTATTGCTTTCTGTTGTGCAACCACTTCTTTTAAACAGCACAAATTTTGCTAAACTTTTTAATGATGTGGTACTGTTTAGTCTACTACAGTCAAACTACAAATTATACTGTACAATATTTGTGCAACAAATAGATCTTATAGACTGAGTGATCAAATAGTTAAGCCTTTATTTCAGTAGTTCTGGAGTTTATTACCGTGTGTACCTGGCAGGAGGTGTATATGCTGTATATTTATGATGGACTTACTCTGTATTTTTGGTTGATGGGATAAACCACCTTTGCTCTGGATGCAAATGCAGCCACATCACTGTTCATGGGTGGCTGCTTCTTCTCCTGGGCAATGCATAAACAGTCTTAAACCGTTACTTAGAAGGAAGGTTACAAGTTAATTAGTAAACATCAGAAATAGGTAACCCTGAAAGAAGGGTGTATGGCGCCCCCTGCCATACAATTCAAACTGATTGGTGGTCATTTTCAGGTATTTTAAAACAATTTACCAGTATGTATTTAATGTAACTGTGATTTACAACTTTGAAAAGTCACTATAAGTTTCAGACTTGTCTTGGATGTTAAAGAGAATAATACTTTATCATTTGTGGTGGCACTTGGAGCCTCCTTTCTGCTGTTGCTGACACAGTCACTCTGGTTGTTGTCTAATTCTCCATCATCAGGTTCAAGCAGCCGCCTTGCATTATAACCCTGATGAGATGACACAGGAGAGAATCATTCATCCAAGGATGGAATAGTATGTCTCCGTGATACGTGGTCAAGAAACAGACTGAGTGAGTAGAAAAACAGAGGTAGCATGCTATTTGCTTACTTGTCTGGTCAACAGCAGAGGTTTCAGGCAGAAGACATAGAGCAGAGCAGCTGCTAATATCCCAGAGAGCCCCCCACACACTGTAGCCACTGTTAACAGTCCTGTGTATATGTGCAGAGACTCGGCGAAACTGACCAGCACATCAGTCCCGCACCCCGTCCCCAAGTCCGGCTCTGACATTACTCTTTAAATTGTAGGAAAACTAACGTTATGATATTAGCATCTTTTCGACAACATGTTAGCTAACGTTACCGTTCAGACCCCATCTCCAGGAAAGTAACGTTAAGTTAAGTTAGCTGCTGGCCGTTTACGTTGAGGTTTCTTGCTCGTATATTATTTTGAAAGTTTTTTCTATCTGAAAGATTTACAATAAGAAAGATTAGCAAGCTACAATTTGCAACAACGCCTTCCACCTAAACTTTTTTCATAAAACGATAAACTCGGTGTAAACATTAGCCAATGGCTGCACGGAGATTTGAGAGGAGGACGGAGCTGCGTGAAGACTGCAAAGTTAGCTAGAATTTAACCGGAAACAAAGTGGATGTGCCTTCAATATTAAAGCACGGCTATGATTCTGGGTATAGAAAATTAGAAAATGCCACCTTAAGTTACATTGACGTAAGGGCAGGAGAGTAATATGAATTTAAAATATCTATTTTTATAGTTTCTTGGCATATTTATGTAGTTTTAGGCATCCACTACAGTTCCCATCAGTCCATGGGCTCACTTATGTTGTTTTAATTTGAAAGCCGTAACCGGAAACAAATGTATGTACGTTGTGTCTTAACGGTTCTTGAGGAGTTGCCCGTTCTTCCCAAGTTTTGGAAATGTTTTCCGAAGTTGTGCAGCAACGGTGATTATGGACTTTCTGTTCGTGTATAAATCTTTGAAATGGCGTCCATACTTTCAACTGAAATGTTAGCATACAAGTAAGGTGTGCTTGTTCGTCAGAAACGCTGCTACAGTTGATGTTTCTCAAGAAAAAAGCGTTGTAAAATGTTTTCATCGCGGATTTTTAACAGTGGCAACATCCAGACATGCAGCCAGCTAGCTAGCGGCTCTCCTTGGTGAGAGTGGCACACCAACGTACGAATGCGTCAGGTTCACTTCACCGCGAAGAGGATCACGTTATGGTCATTTATCTTTAATATCCAGGTATCTTGTTTGTGTCTGCCTCCTTTATACGACCGTTGGGGTTACGATGAAACCTGGTGCGAGACTCAACGTGCCGGTGTATTGGAGCACAGTGCTGGACACCAGACTTGTTATAACGGTAACGTCATATCTCAGGATGCACCATGGTACACAACACGACCACTTCTTTTCTCGGGGACACATGAGGTGAGTGGCTTACTGGTAAAATCAGTAGTGTTCAAAATTTTCCACGTCAAGAACTAATCTGTTTTGATGGAGGTTAAGCCTCTCTGTCTCCACCTGAGATTATCTCTTTGCCTACAGTTACGTGCTCAGTTCAGTTATCTGTTCCAACAGATAACTGAACATCACCTATCACACGTCTCATCTTTATTACAAAGTGATAACTTAATGTTGTTGTATCCCTGAACCTCTGAGTCACCTGTTACATAAATTCAGGTATTCAGGCCCATAACAGATGGTTTGGTTTTGAGGGGTGCCTTTGTGTAAGTGTCTGTAGATTGGTATTGGATAAAGCTATTTAATATTTGTTAATACCATTAAGTGTACAATGCTGAATGCCCTTTTTCCATTTCCAGAGCCTCTGTAATGTCCACCTAATGCAGCATGACCCCACTGGGAGTTCAGCAGTGCAGACAGTGCCTAGGATGGATGGTTTGTTCTTTTCTCTCACTTCTATACATCAACAATACAGTAATAACACAACTCATCTCTATGCAAACACCAGCTGAACAATTGCGCACTTAGTCAATGATAAGCTAACACTGTTTTTTCCAATGCTGTACATGCACAGATGATGTAAAGTTAGAATTCCATAACAGTTTTATGTCAAAATTATGATATGCAGACTATTATACACAAAAAATCTTTAGTACTCTGGTAAATACAAAACCTCAGTCTGATATGTATAATTTACTTATTTATTGTCACTTTCAGCTTTTGTAACTGGCTGTTCAAACACCCTGATAGGTACAATGGAGATCAGTGGGTGCATGGTGCTGTCTGCAGAGGGCCCACTCTCCTCTTCAGCTCCTGGCAGCCCATGGGGACACTCCTTATTTGCGCCACTTAACTACATGTCAAACATCTTCCACCGTCGTAACCGCAGAACCACACTCACCAGATACAACCCAGGCCTCACTCTGCCTCAGGTGTGTTCAGAAATGGTGTTTTGGTCGCCTCAGTCATTGCACACAGTGACGGATTTGTATAGAATATGCAGATATAGTATGCAGTGCAGCTTTTCTTGTTTGTTTTGGTCTGTTGTGTTAGTGTTTATGTGTCATGTTTTGGTAGTTTTGTGCTGAACAAATCAGTGTCAACCAGCCATATCTTTCCACAACTTCTTTTTGATTAGATTTTTTCTATAGTTTTTTATAGTTCTGTCACTTAAGATTCTTCTCGCGTATTTCTGTAGGATACTGGCTGTTTTTAAGATAAGAATTTCTAAAATATCACATACATACATTCACGTACCAAACAAACTGTCACATTATTATATCCCATTCCCATGCATATTTATAACGTCACTTTACATGATTCAAATGAGAATGATCATGTTAGAAGAAATTATATTGTGTTAAATGTTTTGCAGATCCAGAGTGTGGCAGCTCCATCCACATTTGGGGTCAAATTTTACAAGTGTGCACAGGTACAGTTTGAACACAGCCCTTTTTATCAGTGTGCTTTTAATTCTAACTTATTTTACTGGATCTTTTTTAAACTGCAAATGAACATGTTGAAGGCCATCCACTGATTCACTCTCTTCCTGCTGCTTAATAATATGGTCCATAGGTGAAGCTTGGCACTGACCCTCCTCAGCTGATATTCTTCCTGCTGATTCACAACATGGGCCCAGTGGGTGGCACGAACCTGTCTCAGGTCGCTATCCGGGACTCCATTACTGGAATAGTACCTCTAAAATCTGAGGGCAGGGTGGTGGAAAGAGGCTACCAGACGTTTGCTATTGATTCACTGTCTGGTATGTCTGGGAGTCAGTTTACTGTAAAAGATGATTCTGCCAAACATGCCTGGTTTGAACTTTAAAATGTAGGATATTTGGATGTTCTGCGTGCTGCAATAAATAACATGATATTGATTTTACTTCTTTAGCTGGAACCCAGATAATTGTCAACTATACTGCTCAAATAAGGAGCCATAAGAGTGAAGTCCTGGACCTTCCAGCTTTTCTCACCTTCTCTAATGCCTCACAGGTATTTTCTGCTCTTTTTAACCTGAAATGCAATAGTTACGTCACCATGTCCGTATTTGCTGTATAATAAGAATGTTGTCTGTCTTCTTACCCAGAGTACTGTTTTCTTGACTCCACAGAATGATGTCAGTATGTTTGGTCCATTAACAGCTAATCTAACCTTGAGGGTGAACTCCACGGACAGGGTAAGTTGTAAACAGTTCCTTTGCTGGAAACACACCTGCAGCTTCCAAAGTGAATGTTTTGTTCTCGTACTATTTTCAAATTTGCGCTTATGAAATTGATTTGATGTTTCTGCCTGTCATCTTAGATTTATCCTAACCATGGGGTCCATTTTGCTGGATTTGTTGCTGGGTTCTTTGTTACGTTGGTGCTGCTGTCACTGGGGTTTCTGGCCATAAACCTGATAGGTCCGAGAACGAGGCTGAACCTTCTTCAACAAAGGGTAACCCATATTCAAAAATCCTTATGTTTTGTTCTGATTAAAGGCTTACTTTGCCAATTTTTGACCAGCTTTGTATCATAATAATGTAGGTAGTATGTGTAAATTGAATTGTGGTAAACTTGCCTTCATCTTACCAGCACCCAGATCTTCCCTGCTTATCTCTCACAAATCCCCCAGGTGATGTGTTTTGTGGTTGTCAGGGAGGGATGAGCAGAGAGGGACTGTCATTTCTGCTGGCTCTAGGACTGGTGCTTGAGCTACAGATTTTATGTTCTCATTTTTGAATACTCTCTCTCTTTGAAACTCAGATCAAACTGTAAAACTAGGCAGTGCTGATCACATATAAACCAAGATTCAGTTACTGTATTGCCTATTTCTCTCCTAAAATGTCTTCAGAAACATATTCTAGTGCACTGTTTGCCTGTAATATGAGAATTTGTGAACAGGAAGTGGGCGCCATACTGTTTTCTGTATTGTATTAACGGAAGCTGAAAAAACTTGGATCAAACGGTAACACTGAGCGTTACCCAACAGCAGGGGTGTTGATTGGTCTGCCGCAGCGCAGTGCATTCTGGTCGTAGTAGGTTTTCTACCTTTCTACCAAAACCAGTCTTTTTTGTCCAGTCTGTTTTCTCTGGTCACATAGCACCAGTCTCAAAGGTATTTGCATCTCTCTATGGCATAAACAGCCTAGTTTTATTCCCAGCAGTGAAATACTTCTTTTCTCGCAATAACAAAAAATCACTAATTTTTTAATTACATATGGCATATATTTGTGTTTGTTAATGTAGTTGTGATGTTGATTGTCTGTACAAAGAAAATCAAGTAATTTTTTAATTTCTGTAGACAGTACATGACAGTTTTGTTGAGCAGCCCTGTTTCAACATCATTTGTTTCTGTTAACACTTAACTTTGTTATTTTTGAAAGAGCTGTTTTTTCAATTTAATGTCAGTAAAATTTACTCATTGCTTTAGGCTTTATGACTTAGTTCAGGTATGTGTTAAAACACTGTGCGTATATTTTCTTGCACCAGAGAAACCGAGGTGATTCAGACCCAGAGTATGCAGACTGCAACATGAGTGAGACTGTTAAAGATGAGGCGGCATTTGAAGACAAGATGGTGGACACCATGGTGCTGGAGGATCCCCAGAACATGTACCAGGCTTTGGAGAAGTGAGTATACTAGTCAAGAAGGAGTGAAATAATTCTCTGTATGGCTTGATATTCTTTAATGGAACAAAAATGATCAAATCATTGCAAAGTGGAGGAAAATGGCCATTAGGGCACTCACTTCTTGTGGAAACAATGTATATGTGTAGGAATGTAATGTATTTTACTGAAGTTGGGAGTTTTCTCCTGTAATTCAATACCATCCAGTTATTTTGAGTCACAAGAAGTACTTAATCTTAATGCACATCTCTATTGGCTTCTGTAAACAGTTACAACGGTTGTTGCTTGAAAGCTTTGCAGTATGTTGTTTAGCTAGTGTTTCACTCAAATCAGTAATTATTTTAACATTTTATTGTCATAAATGCCTCATATTATTATCAAATCCACCAGGGTCAGTAATAATAAATGTTATCAGCTTGTTATGATACTTCTTACTAAAATCCCACAATGTACAAGTTTACTCTGCTCACTCTACATTTTATTTCTGTTAG